GTCATAGAGGAGGAGAGACCTATCACAAGTGTGCAACCCTCTGCCAAAATTGAAGGACTCGTATTAGGGAAAGAGTTTCTTCATGTAACCACTGAGGAACATCACTGGTCAGGCGAATCGCCTAACACAACCTCGGGTTATTCATACCAGAGAGAAACTCAGTTAGCGCCATCTCTATGAAAAAAGTAATCATTTGTCATCTAAAGAGTCATGTTTGAAATTGACCCAGTCTTCAGTCTTCTACATCTGAGAATTCACCCATGAAAGAGTTCAGTTGCTATTGTGCTTGTTTGTATTAAAGGACTTGTATTAAAGGTCTCAACTGTATCTTCTAGTGTACATTGAAATTTTATCTCAGGGATAGTGTGGTTTTATTTTTTTGTGGTACTGAGGATTCAATCCAGGGACTTGGCATGAGCTACATCCCTAGCTTTCTTTTTTATTATGATACAAGGTCTTAGTAAGTTGCTAAGTTGCCTAGGCTGCACTAGAAATTTTGATCTTTCTGCCTTATCTTCCCAGAGTGCTGAGATTACAGGTGTGTGCCACCTCACCTGGTTCCTGCTAAAATATATGTGTATATATATATTTTATTTTATATATTTATTTATTTTGGGAAAGGGTCTTGCTTGTAGTTCAGGCTGGTCTTGACAGCAATCTTCCCTCAGCTTCCTGAGTACTGGCATTTTCGGCATGTCCCACCATCCCTGGCTCTTCTAAAAGTTTTAGCTTACCTTTTTCTTTTTAATCTCTGGTCCATATTAAGATAATTTTTGTATTACCATACAAAGCATAGGTTGAGTTTCATTACTGAGAAATTTCATTTGTTCTAGCACCATTTATTATAAAGACTATTCTATGTTTATTGAATTACTTTTATGTCTTGGTCATAAACAACTGAGCATATTCATGTTGGCCTATTTTTGCATTTTCTAGGTTATTGATGTGGTTTTCTGTGTTTATTGGCAGAGGCCAAAACCTGTGTCAGTAACACACTATCTTGTGCACCTATCAAATACATAGTTATTCTATCCTCTTTGTTCTTGTAAAAATTGTTTTGTCTTTCCATATCAGTTTTATTCTTATGGCTTTGTTTCATTTTTAGCATGTGTTTTTATATATCTAAGAAGTGTCTTCCTGTTATTGTAGAAATTACTATAAATCTGTACAGTAAGTTCTTTTGATGATAATCAAAAGGTTTTGTATGTTGAACCTTCCAGTCCATGAATGGTCTTTTTTTTCCTCCAAATCCCCTTTCATTTATTTCATAAATGTTTTATAATTTTCAAGTAGTAAACCCTGGACATATATTTTTTTCTTTTCCTTTTATTGGGGTGGGGGTAGTTTGGGTATTGAACCCAGGTCTTCATCCATGCTTGAACTACACTGCAGTGATTTTTAAAATTTTCGAGATAGGTTAATTTGTTTTTGTTTTTTTTTGGTACCAGGGATCGAACTCGGGACCTTGTACTTTCGAGGCAGGCAGTGGCACCACTGAGCTAAATTCCCGGCCCTAGACAGGTTGAATTTTGAGACAAGTTGCCCAGACTGGCCTAGAACTTGTGTTCCTCTTGTCTCAACCTGCAGAAGAGCTGGGATTGCAGGTGTGCACTATCACCCTGCTTGAATTTATTGTAGATACTTTTGTGAGGTCATTTTATGTGACATTGGCAGGTTTTGTTTGTTAAGAGATGGGGCCTCTTAACTCCTGGGCTCAAGGGGTTCTTTCACTTTAGCTTCCTGTGTGAGTAGTTGAGATCACAGGTATCACCTCACCCAGCTTCATACTCGTTTCCATATGATCTTTCGTAGAATAGGAATATATTTGTTAGTGTTCACCTTGCATATTATAACATTGCTTAACTCAGTTTTTAGGCCCATCAGTATTTTAAAATATATTCCTCAAGATTTTCTTCATAAACAATAACATTAGCTAATAGTGAACCGATTTCTAGGCTTCATCACTTTCATTCTGTCATTGTACTTCATGATCTTCAAGTATGATGTTAAATAAAGGGGAAAAATATCTATTCTTTATACTTGTGTGGTTGATGTTTATGGAAAATGTTCAGTGTTGAGCATTAAACATAGCTCTTTGGTTTCATGTAGATGATAATGTAATTTAGAAAGCTTCCCTTCTAAATTGCTGAAAGTGTGTTAAGAATGAGTGTTACAATTATGTATCCTGTTTTCCTGTAGCCTCTTGATATAATGGATTGCTTTGACTTAGTTACAAATGTTGATCTAGTCTTGTATTGCTGCAATAAATTTCCCCATATTTTGAGAACTTTGGTATCTAAAATCAAAGTGTTGTGTTTGGTCAAACCTCCTTTAGATGCTCCACTGTGGGGGAAGGGTAGTTCCCACAAAAGAAAGTCCTGCAGAATCCTCAGATTTAGCTGGTTAGGATTCCTAAGAATGGAGCACTAAACCTCAGGGTGATCAGTCCAAACTATTTATTAGAGACATTCATGTACATCCAGGGCTCCTTCTTGATTCCCTGAGCTCTACAATTTTTTGTTCGTGACTAAGTTGTTTTCCACGTGTCTCATTTCCAGGTACTCTAGAGAATGTATTTTGCTGCCCACCTTTCTCCACCATTTTTAGAGCTAGCATTGAATGAACTATTTTTCTTTCTCACTAAATCCTCTTGTTTCTTCAGAAATGATGAGCAGTACAGTCTTTAGATATCTGGAACAGACCCTGTGGAGACATGATGCTGGATACTAGGCAAATCCTGGTCTCTTACTGTTCGTCAGGCTTAGCTCTTATGTAGACTATAGCTCACAGATGGCCTTTCTCTATTGTAGGAAATGGGCCTGCCTCTGCAATGCTCAATGATATTGTACTTCAGTTTTGAAGATTAAAGACAATGTCTGCTCACTGATTTTTTAAATTTTTGTGACCAAAAACTGTTTATGTTATGCATGTCACAATTTAATTTCTCATCTATATTGTCAAGTGGCCAGTTTATTTTGCCTCCTTTGAAACAGTACACAGGGCAGTAGGACTCTATGTATCTATCCTTAATCTGACTTACAGGATAACTTTTTTTCTCTTTGTTTTGTTTTTGTGTTTTTGAGACAGGGTCTCACTATGTAGTTCAAGCTATCCTTGAACTCACTATATAGCCTAGGCTGGCCTTGAACTTGCATTGATCCTCCTGCCTCAGCCTCTGGAATGCTGGATTTAAGGCATGTGCTATGACATCTGGCATGCAGGATAACTTTTAGAAAATTCATATCAATACTCTCCTTTTAATTTGGAGATGTATTCTGTATGTGTTTTGAGAAGTGGGCCTTACTGATCCTGTAGAGACTGCCCATTCCAGACCGACTCAATTCCAAGTGGTAGCAAAGGACTTTCCTCGGTGTACACCTTTCATATGCAAACCAAACACTCCAGAACCTTCATCTTTCAACTGCTTTTATGAAGGTCTCACAAATGGAGGAACTATCTGCCATCACTAACCCAGGGCCAGATATCCAGTAACTGGGGACAGCCTCTACTGAAACTAACATGCTAGGGAACAAGGATGAAAAGGGGAAGGGGAAATGAGAGGGATGAAGATATGCCATGTACAGGAATGTAATACCAATTAATGTCAACACTATATGCCATAAAATGCGCTAAGACAATATCAACGAGTATGCAAAAGGATATTGGGGAACTCTAAGGTGAAGGGGGAGGAGGGAAGGGGAAGGGAATTTTTTTAAAAAGCTGTAATATGTACATGTAACCACTCTCCATAATAATTGTAAACTGCATGAAGCAAATGTACTAATAAAAAATCTGAAACCTACCTAGCTTATTTATTCCCTTGATCATTCCTTGCTGCAAAAACACAATAAACAGTCTTGCCCTTGCTTTCCCCTTACTGCTGTTTGACCAACTCTTGTACTGTGCTTCCCCACCTGGCCCAACATGCCATGATGTGTGCTCTACCTCTTGGCAACTTGTGATCTTTTAGCCTCACCATATTTGAATAATAAAAATTGACATTTAAAAATAATATGCTGAATTAATGAGGTACTAAATTTTAAGAATTAAGCAAAGAAAACGAGCCATTTCCATGTAATTTAGAAAGCACAGAGGTCAGTGCACGGAGCAAGACAAGGTAGAGCACCATGGATGGAGGTGAGATCAATGCCAAGATGGGCTGTCGAAGTGAAATAGTCGTAACCAGATAAAGACCACTGAGGTAGTAGGTCTCCAAGGATCTGAGTGATGGAATTTTAGAAAAGTATTCAGTTTCACATGCCCTCCTCATTGCCTGATACTTCTGAAAAGGCCCAAGCATAACAGATAAAGATTCTTCAGAAGTCTTTTCTCCACCTCTTGGACTGTTGAAGGAGGAAATGGCCTTTCTGTGTGCCATCTCCTAAGCCTGCCCACACCATTTGTTTTTTTGATTATCACCTTTTCACAGGCTTCCTCAAGATTCTACATTCTTAGGCCTTAAGGCGGCTGTAGTTGTGTGATCTCTCCCGGTCCGTTTGTTTACTCTTGCTTTTTCCCTGCTGTCCGGTAAAATCGCTCTCAAGTTTTAAGTACTAGTCTCTTTGCATCTCCTTGATCCTTGCAGTGACTCGTAGTGACTACACGTTTAGACTGCCCATTCATGTTAGCCTGGCATCAAAACCACACAAAGCTGTTCCACGTGTATGTGTTGGCTCTGTCCCTTCCCCAGACGCCCTTGAAATGTTTATCTGTATCGACTCAACCGAGACCGGGAAGTCACAGACTAGGACCAGAATGAGCTCTTTGTACGTACCTTGACCCCAGTATGTTCCCCTTTGCTGAGGCTCTGTTTGGGCGAATTATGTGCATTGTAAGAAGACAGCCCTGTGCCAAACGCACGTAAAAATATGTTTTTTGACGGTCTCCACCGCTAGGTGGATGCCAGAGAAAAAAACCTGCGTTACCCGGAAGGCGCCTGGACTGGACCAATCATTGCCCAGGAGAGGGGCGTTTCTTGCAGGACTCGGAGGCGGGACATCCTGCTGCTTTAGCTCGAGTCATCTCCCTGCGCCTGACCGCTTATGACTGAGTTCGGGGGCCTCGTCGTGAAAGGTGCGGGCGAGGCCGACCGGACCAATCCTCCTTTCTCCGCGTCCTCTGAGAGCCTGGCACCTCCTCCTCTCTGACGGGGTGTCCCGGGGGCGGCGCTCGCCCAAGGTCTCCACGGCCGCCAGCGTACGCATTTTACATGGGGGAAACTGAGGCTGGGAACGGGTCCGTCCACCAAAATCACCCACCCAGGCTGGGGAGGCGCTGGAGGTCGCCTGCCCCTCGGTCCTCGGCGTCCGCGATGGCGGCGGCGCAGGTGAGTGGACGAGGGTTCTGGCTCCGCGGTTCCTCTGCTAGTTTGAGAGGCTGAGGCTAAGACAGCCCGCGTTTCTCTTGGTCGTCATTTATTCCAGAGAGGAGGCCGTGGTTGTGAGTTGCTTCATCCCCAGTTTTCCAGGGAAGGAGGCTGTAGGGTGAGTGCAGCTCCATCTGCGGTGTCAGCTTACACTTTTCATAAACGCAGCCCCACACTGTGGCCTTGAGTCCCCGTCATCCGCCCTGCGCCCTCTCCCGACCTGGTCTTGGTTTCTCCTGGTTCCTTGTCTTGAAACCCAGCAGCCTGACAACACGAAGATCTCTTCTGCTTTGCAGCCTTGTCCTGCATTTGGCCTTGCTGGAGACGCTGCCTCTGAATCTGCATGGCCTCCCTTTCTGCTCTGATCAGAAACTACCATGCCCATCATCAGTAACCTGTTCTGTTGTTATCATGTTCTCTACAGAGTGCATGGGGAGGTCTGGAGAAGTCACCTAAAGTAAATTGCAAGTCGAGCGTGCCTCATTCAAGACTGTAGTGTTGGGCACATGGGCTCTCAGGCAGGGAGACCGCTGTCACTCAGGAAAGGTTCATTGGTTTAAAAGGAGTCCTCAGGAGACCTGTGGGTCCTCCCCCACCTGCTGACTCATATCCAGAATGGATGAGAGTGTGATTTCCTTTTCTTGCCGTAATGGAGATTGAATATAGGGCCTTATGAGTGCTGGACAAGTGCTCTTTCTCAAAAGTGCATCCCCTATCTCTTTATTATGTTGGCCAGGTTCATCTTGAACTTGTGATCCTCCTGCCTCAGCCTCCTAGGTACCTGGGATTCCAGGATTGCACCACAACACCTGGCTCTGTGGTCTTTTGATGGATGTTACTTCCTCTTACCCGGGAGGGAGGGACATGATATCCAGTCCATATGCTAGGTTCTCGTGGCCATAACTCTCTTGGAGTCCTGTTCCCTGTTGCTGAAGGATCCGACCCTCAGTGATAAGTCCTGGCAAGATTCAGGTAGGGAAAAGAAGTAGTGGCTCATTTTGAATTCTCCACGGGCAACTGTGGGGTCCAGAAGGAATGTAGAGGACCTCATAAGCTGGTCCAGGCCCTATCACTTCACATACAGATGCCACTATGTCAGGTATCTCCTTAATGAGATGTGTGACGATGCCCCCCCGCCCTCTCCACAGAAATATTTTCAGAAGTGGATACAATAGGGAAACTTATTTGGAATGCATTACAATCTCATTAACTGTGAATTAACTTTGCTCTTAGGGGAATGTCATTTCTCCATGAGTAGGTTGCCTACTGGAGGGTCCTGGATTCAGATCCTGTCATTTATATGGCATGTAAGTTTGCATGAACTTGTAGAACTTCCTGGACCTCAGTTGAGATGATGATAGTGTTGACTTCTGGGGCTGTGGCCCATCACCCATGTTTCTTTTATAGGCATTGTTTCTCTTATTCTTCTGAGGGTAAATGGAGAGGTGGAAAATATATTGATCTGAGATAGAGGCTCAGATCAACAAGGGCCTGATGGTCACACAGCAAGCAGATATTGATTTCTGGAGTCTGGCTCTTGAGTTGAGGCTTCTTGTCACTTTACCATGGCATATGGAAGGAGCCAAGCCCACACTGAGGACCAGTAAGATGGAGGTGCTATTGCTATGTCTATATATTATTTTTGTTGTTATTCTTTTCTATTTCTCAGTATCTCAGAGTACTTGCTATGTGTGCCATATGTCCGTTCAGGATTGTCTTAAACTTGTCTAAGTCTGCAGTGTCATCCTGGCTATGAAATTTCTCTCAAGCATACTGCTATAATCTGACCATGCAACACCTCCTTACACTGAAGCACAGCATAAAGCTCAGCCCTCTACTGGGGTACTTGGTGATTTGGTTCTTGGTTGTCCACATCTTTTGTTGTGCTCAAGTGACACAGTCACATTCTACCGAACAGTCCCAAGGCAGTTCTGCTTCCTGTGTTTGACTTCCCAGGTTGCTGTGACCTTTGAAGATGTGGCTGTGAGATTTACTCAGGAGGAGTGGGAGCAGCTGGACCTTTCCAAGAGGACCTTATACTGGGAGGTGATGCTGGAGACCTGTGGACTTTTGACTGCTGTGGGTAAGGCTCCCCTCAGCCATCTGGCCACTGGATCCTCTGTCCCTCTGCTCTCAGAGTCCACACTGGGCTGGTCATTGACACCTCTAGAAGTGCCTTCCTTGCTTTACAGTTTCTGTCATTTCTTTGCATTTACTTCTTCCTTGATCTCTTTAAATCTCATTTAGCGAGATTTGGGAGACAAACAGTCTGTGTTTGGTCACAAAAAAGAGGGATACATTGGAAGGACATAAGGGTATTGTGCAGAACCAAAGGCACCCTTTTTAGTCAGGGATGCAAGGCTGGGTCAGCATTTGTAACTCCAGCCCTTGAGGACAGATGAAATTTCTGGAAGGAACTTGGTTGTGCCTGGCTTTAAGTCTGTTGTCCTGGTTTTTCTTTGTGGGTCTCTTCCTGTCTTTCAGCCTATTATTTTGTGAAAGGTAGTAGTGAGGTAGGTCATGAGACCAACACATTCCCCATTCTCATCATCTTTCTGTTTATATTGTTTGTTCACACTGCACTCTTTTAACTCTTCTGGCAACTTTATGAATGTAGAAGCTTTTTCATTGACTCGTCCCCATCTTGAAGTTCCAGACTAGATTAAGTGGATTCTTATTCCCACCAATCCCTGTGTCTCCTTTCTTCATGTACAGGCTGTCCCTTGTCCAAGTCAGAGCTTATCTACCAGTTGGAGCACAGCCAGGATCTATGGACGGCAACAGGAGTCCTCTTCCAAAGCTTTTATTCAGGTAGGTGCCAGCCACTGGGTGGACAGCAGGTAGCAGACTTACTGGTGACCCCTGCCTCTGAACTCTGGAAATCATTTTTTGCCTCTGGGGCAGTGGGGCCTTGAAGCCTTTAACCTGAGGTGCCCTCTGCCCTCTATATCTCTCAGGCCTTTCACAGACTACTGCCCCTGGGGAGCTGTGAGGCATAATACAGAAGTCAGCTCCTGGTTCTGCTTGGGCTTAACAAATAGCTTTGACACAAAAGAGGCTTGTGTACTTGGGGAAGTCTCACTGTCCCCTTGAACTTCAGTCCAGCAGCAGTAAATCTGGCTGCTCTAATAGCTATGCTCCTGTTGTAATCTCACTGGTTTACAATAGGAAACACAGGACCACGGGGGTCAGCAGGCAGCTTGCTGTCACACAAGGAGTCATGTACCCATTGCCCACTGTCCACAGCATAGGGGCTGATGCATCCCTGGGCACCTCCATCTGGCAGAAGGGAGATGAGGAAGTAAAGATGTCACTCCACTTCACCATGCACTGCTTCCCCTCCTACTTGCTGACATTCAGATACACTTAGCTTCAGGGGCTTTGGACTGTGCCCAAGCTTGTGTCTAAAAAGAACAGATGGCACACTTCAGAGCCAGTGTCTCTTCCCTTCACGGCTCCCTTGGCTATGTTGTTATTATTCATCCTCTGCCTAGTCTTGACTGTGAGTGGGGTCTCGATTTCAGAAACTTTGTCATCTGCCCCAGGCACCCCCTCTGAGTTTTCTTTCAAAAGTCTCAAGGAAAAAAAAAAA